TCATGTGTTTAAGCGTTCAGTGCTGTCCCTTCAGATCTTTCATGTGGAAGCCCTTATCTAAGGGCGAGTAGTGTTCATTAGCAGTTATTTTGTGCTGAGAATTATAAGTTTGATAACCCTTTTGGTTGATAATTAAGCTGTCCTTATAGTTCACTTTGGTAACATAAGATTTGTTATTCAGTAGAGGACAAATCAAGAATAAAACAGCCATTGAATGACAAATTAGTAGCAGTGCTATTGCCTATGCATACTTTTTAAGTGCTCTTGAAGCAAAACTTAACCACAGATAAAATAACTACATTTTATTCTTACTTTTAGAAATTATCTTTGATTATAATGACACTTGGTAAAATCACTGTAATACTAAAAAGAGTAGGTTTTCTGAAGGAACTAACGTCACAGTAATTCTTCTTAAACCTGTAGTTATACTTCCATTTTCTCAGATTAGCTTTCATTTAGTCCAGGATATGTTACATACAAGAATAACAACTCTTTGAGGAGGGAAGGGATTTGGAGTCGGTTGAAAAGTGAACTTGGAGGATGGATATTTTTCTTACTGCAATGTATTTTGCTGCTATTTTCTTTGTTTCTTAGAAACATAGGAATTTTCATAGGGGAGTAGACAAGTATTCCTGTAACCTGTCTGAAATAGTTGCCAGCACCAGAGGCTTCAGAAACAGATGCAGAACTTTCCTAGCCGCTGGGAAGGGTGCTTACAGAGTGACTGATGCTGAGGTTTCCAATATACTTCCGGATGGGTTTGTCCGACAGCTCTGTGATTTTTGCCCCTCTCTGTCTTGGGATTTTTAGTGTCTTTTTTATTTTGATTCTTCTTTCTTAAAATTTCTGTTTCTTTTTCTAATTTTTGCAGAACTTTTAAACCTGTAACAGTTTATTGTCCATTAATTCTCTAGATGAGTTGTACATTATGTATAACGCATCGACATCCTCCTTTAATGTTCGTGAGTTTTTCTGAATCTCCTTGCTTGTGTAAGAAGAGATACCAGGTGCTTGTTTAATCTTCTGTGCAATTATTATTTTTTTTCTTTTTGCCAACATCATCTTGCTGTTCTTCGGAATATGTCCTCTTCAGAACAGGTGAGATTGTTTGTTTAAAACTGATATTAGAGTAACTTAGAAATTAGGCAGGTTGCATATCCTGTTTTCACATGCCAGAATATGTGGCATATGGTCAAAACTTCTTTCTCTTTTCTGTAAGTCAGTCTCTAATATTTGTTGATACTGTTTTGCTATAGACTACTTCCTATCAAAACAGGTTAAGGAGGTTAAAACCTGTATTTTTCTCTATTTCTCTACATACAATGTTCTGAGTTTTCTTGATAATTTTAACTTAGGATCTTTAAACGTTCAGTTTGTAGATGGAAGTTAAATGGAGAAGATAACTTGTATAGTTATTTTTAATTGTTTGATTTCTGAAGCTTAGAGATGTAGACTACCTATTTCTGTTGTTTACTTTAAGTTTGAAACTGTGCTTTGCACATGTCTTCATTACGCAGTCAGGATTATTTAAGAGGATGAGAAAGAATGGCTTCCTACTAGTTCTTTTAAATGTAATTTTATGTAAATTCCATACTAAGATTTGAAGGCCTGTGAAATTTAGTGATTCTCCTTTTCGTAGTGGCAAAATCCTTTTAGTGTTTCTTTGTATCAAAAAAAAATATGGTGTGTCTCCTGCTCAGTGAACAACACATTCAAAATCTTCATGTGACTCAAAAAGGTGCTCAAGGGGTGTGTCTATCAGTCTGTTTTTGGAAGATGATGTTCATGTCATAAAGGAGTAAGTTAGTAAAACATACTCCAGGCAGTTCTTAAAGAGATTATCTGACGTGGAGGCTTTGAAGGGCAACTTGTAAGCTTCACTCTCTCGGTGGCAAGGATATCAGATATGCTTTCTCAAAATAAAACCTAAATCAAGATCTTAAGTTCAGAACTGTAGATTTCAGCCCTTCAAAAATGATGACATTGATGAAACTGCCAGCTTCAACAAAACAAATCTGTGTTCATAGCATAGGTTCCTTCAAACATCACCTCTATCATACCGTGTCCTGAAGTTCTAACATAGATCTTTGCTTTGTAGTTGTAGGCGTCTGCTCCTTTTTGGTGCACAGTGAGGTGATGGCTCAGGGTAGTCTGCTTGAGAAATGTCACATACCCATTCCAGCTAAAGTCCGGCAAACTGACATCCGTTTGCTTCTGTGTTCGTTTGTATCTATATTCACTTGTTGTTAGAAATTTGGTAGTGGGACAGAGAAGAAAAGAAGGTGAGAGGAAAATGAGACTTGTTGAATGTTTATGTTGTATTTTATCTCAGAAAGGGTTGAAGGAGGGCATTGTCTTCAGTATTGGTCTCTGATCATTCTGCTTCCTAAATAAGGTGCAAATACTTCTAACTGAAAGAGTTTTACCTATTTTTATTGCATGCAAGGTGCAAAAATGTGAACAAAAGAAATGAGGAAGTACATTTGGCATGTAGCGAGTGCATATTCCTGTCCCATCCCTCCTAGCCATTTTCTCTTCTACTGTGGTACCCAAAACAAAAGCAGGTGAACAAAAAGAATCATCAGTTGCCCTTTGAACTGGGCCACAGGAGCTAAAAAAAAGGAAAATTTTTGCTTTGGTAAAATTAAATAATAAAAGTAATTAAATAAAAATAAAAGTAAATTATAAGCTTTGGTCAAGTGTCTTTGTGCCTTTAGGTTTGCAGTCATTCTTCTGATCCCTACATGCTATAGTGTATTCCTTCCTTCCTCTGCCTTTATGTGCTGCAAAAACTTCCAAAAGGAGAAAGGGAATGTAGCACTCCAATTTTTATTTTCACAGTGCTTCTTGAAGAGCTTTTTGCGTTCCATCCTAGAGCTGTTTCCTTTCTGAAACTATGATTTGTGTCTGTTATTCTAACAAATGTCAGTCTTCTAGGTTTCCTTTCTGCTTCTGAAAGACAAGAGAGCTCGTTTCCACAGAGCTGATTTAGTGAAAATCAGAAGCAGGACCATACTGTAATTAGGGGAAGAGATGAGGAGAACGTTCTCTTCAAATGACAAGGGAAATGACTAGAGTAATTTGTATGAGTGACAGCAACAGCTACCATAGCTTTCAAGCAGTTAGTACTGCTGTGATAGGGATGCCTCGAGGTGCACAGTGATGTTTAGATGTGATGTATGCTGATGAAACAAATCTTTGCAAAGTATAGTTACCTTTGTGGGTCTGTTGTTTTAGATGTGTGTTCTTGCTCTTGTGACTTTGTGGTCCTTTAAACCATGTTTTTCTAAATTTGGTTTTTGTCTTGTAATCTAGATTTGTAAATACTTTACAACATACAAAATGTCAAAACACTTGTGTCTTCAACTTATTTGTTACCGTTTTGTTAGTTTAATTTTAAAGAGAAATATAAAATTTAAAGTAAAAATAATTGGAAGCAATGCACTTTTTGTCTTGTGATCTTCCATTCTGTCTTCTTGTTGGATGTGTTGCATCATTAGATTTTTTTAATGGGTTAGAAAACTGACTTAACAACTCTGTATTGTGTTCTCAGAACATTATAAATTGATAGCATCTTGAGAATTGTTAATTAAAACATTTTCAGATGTTTCAACTTCAAGCACCTTAAGGTCCCAGTTTTATTTCACAGGTAGATTTGGATGTAAAAATATCAAAAGTTCCTCAGAGCTCTTATAGTATCACATGGTTTTGGCTTTGTTCTGCTCTTAAAAAAGCAAAAAGGAAAAAAAAGTGAAAAGGATGCCTTCCTAAAATGTGTGACACATTACTGGTCTGGTACAAGTTTTGTAGCGCAATACGTGATATTGCTGGCCAAATTAAAAGCAGATTTGTGTTTTAAAACAGGCTTTACATATCTCCGCTGACCTTTTTTTGCCTTTGTTTTCTTTTTTATTTTTCCTTTGGGTTTTTTTTGCCTTTGTCTTTTTTGTTGCTTGATCTTGAACATGAGTGACTGCTGAGGCTGCTCATGTTATATTTCATGTATATATATGTGATATAGGTGTATAAATGTATCAATCCAGGTTTAAATTGTGGATAGACATCAGTGAAAGCTGGTGCAGAACTGGGCCTGTGTGCTGGACTGCATTCTGTCTAGTGTAATTAAAGCAATGTGATAGTTTGATACAGGGCTATTCTGCTTGAGTCTATGTATTTATAAATAATGTATTTAAGCACTTGATTGGATCAGAGAAGCTTGACTCTCAGATATTGGACAGGAAGCCCAGAAATTGTACATGAACAAAGTTAAATGTTTGTAATTTGAAACTTTAAGCTGAAACTGATAAATTATGGCTTCTGCAGCTTCCTGGTATTATTTAGTAGAGCCTTGAACAAGTTAAGACAATGAGATAACTTTGAAGAGAAGTATAATTGGACAAACTAGTAGATGGGTATCCATTATTCTTCAGCTACTCCTGAATTCACATGTTTCATTCCTGTAGCAACTCTTAGAGTACCTTATCAATGTATTTGTGCCTTTCAATGTACTTTGTGGTGTGTAAATTACATTCATTAATAGTGATCTGAGACAACTGTAATTTGGTTTTGATAGACATTAAAAATATGTTCAGTTAAAATGCAGTTCAGCTGTTGAAGCTTATTTGTTTATTCCGTCACAATAAAGTTGAAGTGACTAGTGAGAGACTTAAATTCTTCTTACCCCAGGCAGAATGTGTTATCACCAGCACACCGTGTATTGTGTAATTGTTATTTTGATTTATACAGTCAGAACCATATAAATTCCAATGGGGTATGAACTGCATCAAACGCTTGTTAGTGCTTGAGTGGCTGATTGTGCTGACCTGCTGATACCTAAGAGAGCAGAGATCTCTAGCAAGATGCTGTAATTTAAAGAAATGTAAACTATACTGCTAGAAAATATCATTCTGCTTCCTTCATCCTGTAGGAGGGAGAATTGTGGTGTCACATGTCTGTATAACACTGAAGAGTGCTATTAATATAAATTCTTTAATTTTTAGTGCAACTAATGCAGTCTTATCTGCCACTCCTACAGGAATTCCTTATAAACAATTGACTGTAGGTGTCCCCAAGGAGATATTTGAGAATGAGAAGAGAGTGGCTCTATCGCCGGCTGGAGTTCAAGCCTTGGTTAAACAAGGCTTCAATGTTGTGGTGGAGTCTGGAGCTGGAGAAGCTTCCAAGTTTTCTGATGACCATTACAGAGAAGTTGGAGCAAAGATCCAGGGGACCAAGGAAGTCCTGGCTTCTGATTTGATTGTCAAAGTAATTGCTTTATTAATGTATTTCCTATTACATTCTTTTTTGGAGAAACACACAGGTCAAATTTTTCTAGTAGTCTGCTGAAAATAAGTAATTAAGTAGTCAGTAAATAAGCTCCTTTAAATTAATATTTGCCATTCTAAGTTCTGATTCAATTGTAGTCTCTTTTTTTTTGATAGCTCAGGTGTGCATCTATAGTAATAAACTAGTAAATGTCAGCATTGAAAAAACTGAGGATGATTTCTTGTCAAGTTTTTAACTACCTTGGAGGAGTTGTGTTTTCTAGAGCAAGGTGGGCTAGTTCTAGACTCTAATCAGATAAGGTCCCTGCTCTAAGAAACTTTTGCTCCAAGATTAGTAACATAAAACTCAAAGTTACTCTTTAGAGAGAGTTGATTGGAATTTTGAAGATACAGGTTTCTTACTTTTCTCAATCAGACATCGAACAATTCCACAGCATCTGTGTGTTTCGAAAATATTATAAGTGGATGAGTTGTAGCTGATCTGGGAAGACTGCTAAAAGTGAAGTTGCTTGAGAGGTATTCAAAGGAAAAAAGAAAAAGACCTTAAACTTTATGTTGAGGCTTCCTTTAACTGCTTTGTTTGAAGTTATTGTCAGGATTTAACATAGAATTTCTGTGAGTTAGTTTTTGAACCACTCTTTTAAGTAGGCTTTTTTTAAAGAAAAGTGAGAAGCCCGAAAGACATGAGTACAAATAAATATGAGTATCTTCTGGACTTTACGCTTGAAATTCCCTCTATGTAATGGTGCATTACGAGCTAATTAGTGATTTTTCACCTGTAGAACTTAATTGGTACATCTGTTCAGTAATCATTTTGCCTAAAAATGGCTGGTTTCGGTGCAGCTGTCTGTCATAAAAGCCAGTAACTGCTGGTTTAGAAGCCATCAGATGTTTGTGAAGGTGTGTGCTGACTATTACTGCCGTGTCACCCATCCACCTAGTGCTAATTCTAATATGTGAAGTGCATTTACTCAGTTTAGTTGTGTAAACTGCCTTTGAGATACTTCCTTCCTTGTGTACTTTATGTATCAGAATGGACAGACTGCAAGCTGGGAGCAAGGAAGTGGAATGTGTTCTGATTTATTTCTACTGATTAATTTGTAAACTTTCTCTTTCTTCAGGTGAGGGCTCCTGGTTATAACTCAGATCTAGGTGTACATGAAGCAGATCTTTTTAAGACGGCGGCTACACTGATTAGTTTTATCTACCCAGCACAAAATCCAGACCTCCTGAAAAAACTTGCAGAAAAAAAAACTACTGTCTTGGCTATGGATCAGGTTCCACGGGTCACCATTGCTCAGGGATATGATGCACTTAGTTCCATGGCCAACATTGCTGGGTATGAGTTTTACTTTTTTTCTTTTAGCTTGAATAAGAATAGCTGGATTAAAAGCTATATACTTTGATATTAGGTATATCTAAAACAATTCTGCACCTCTATTTTCATAGAGCTATTTTAGGCAGGATGAAGCTGTTGGAGGTGCCAGACAACTTCTTCATTTTCTTACGGTTCAGCTTGGCAGCAGATCAGAGCAAACCTTTTTAAAAAAAAACAGAAGTAGACAAAATTGAAGGCAGTGTTCTGATTCCTGGACTGGTTTGTCTAGTGCCCTTTTGGTCTGAACTAGATCAGAGCAGGCTCAAAGGTGTCCTTAAGACCGCTTGAATGCAGCTTGTCTGTCAGTGGGATCTGATGCTGGCAGCTAACTAACCCAGACAGTGCTCAGTATGAATGCAATTGCTGTGGGGGATGTAAACGAAAGATCAAATACTCTCAGACATCCTTATGCTTTGTGACTGGTATTGTAGTGAATTAAAATGTTGTTGTCAAGCTGACTTGTATTATTAGGTTCTTTATTGTTTTTTAATATTTTTTTTTTACGTTCTACATAGGTGATGTCTGTGAGGCATAATAAGCCTTGGAGAAGGCTGCCAGGTTTTGTGGCTGCCAGCAGTATACATCCATGTACATGTTTGGTTACTTTTCTGTGTTTTCATTCTGTGTAATTTTACTAAAATACAGAAATTCATAATGTATTTAAAGTTATAAAATCTACAAGCTGTATTCCAAATTACAACTAATTTTATGGCATACAGACCTCCATATGTCCCTGCTAAAGATAGGAAAGAGAGTGGAACAGGATCGTTTAACTACAACACTGTTAGTAAAAATGCAAGAAAATGTGCACTATTGTTAAGAAAAGACATAATTACACATTAATCTACATGTTCAGATAACTCTGCTGATGTTAACTTGGTGTCCAGCCAGCCATTTTCAGATGGCTGCAAAGCAGATGGGGCAGAAGTAGTAGCAAGGTTAACCTATTTGCTCTAAGCCGTACAGATCCGCAGAGGGTTAGAGTATCTTTTTTGGACGGGTGCTTGCTTGTCTAAGTGAGCTTACTGCAAAATTGCTCTGGGTTTTGCAATTACTTGGTCATGTTTCTGCCCCTAGTAAGTCTCAGGTTACAGCCTTTGAAGGTAGCTTCAAAGACCACAGAGTTAACTTTTGGCAAGTTATGTGTTTATTATTCGGGTAAAATTTTATTTGAGAGGGTAAGTAGTTGTGGAAATCCAGTATATTGCAGTCCAAAAATGGTCTGAAAATGCTTTCCATGATTAAAAAGAAAAAGAAAAATGAACAAAAACTATTAAACTTGTGCTCAATAGTAACATATTAACTTGCTTTATCCTATGTATGCTATGGTCAATTGTTCATCCTTTTGATTGCTGTCATGAATGAAATTGTACTGAGCCTGGGAAAATACTGATATGTATTTGTCCTTAATTGACAGTTACAAGGCTGTGGTCCTGGCAGCAAATCACTTCGGTCGATTTTTCACCGGTCAGATCACAGCTGCTGGTAAAGTTCCTCCAGCAAAGGTATGTGCAGTTAAACAGATACTGTGGCAGAATATGTGAGTTCTTGAGACAGCTAACTGCTGCTAAAACCATAGCAAAAGGCACCTTGGGGTGAGTTCTAGAGACTTTAGAAACCCCTACAGTTATTCCCATACCAATTTTTGTTGACTGTCTGTAGTGTTATTTTGTTTGGGAATAGTCCTCCTGGTTAAAGGGAAGGGAGGGAAAGGGGTGACAAAATAGAGAAAATCAATACCTGGTTAAGGAAGTGGTGTCATGGGCAGGGCTTTGGCTTCTTATACCGTGGGATTTACTTTGAGAAATCTGGTCTTCTGGGGGCT